AGCGGACATACTAGGATGCAGTCTATCCCTGGAGGCTTTGGTTTGTTTCTCGGTATGCATTCGGTCGTTTTGGACGAGACACTTGTCTGATTCAATGATGTATGTACGAATTGTCTTAGTGAGATTCGTGTCTGAGACACATTTTGGGTTGCCGTATAATAACCGACGCGACGCGCTCTCCTAACTATCATGCCAATCTTTAGGAAAGCTGCAACTGTTCCATCAAGCCAACAACCAATCAACTAAGATAATACGACCCCAAAATGCCCAGACGAAGGAGGCGCCGAGGAAGAAGACCATACCATCGCCCACCAAATAGACGCAATGAACGTAACCCAAGCCCCGACTCACCATCGAGTGGTAGCCAAACGTCCGGTACCAACACCGAAACGACACCCGACAATGCGTCTTCATCGGCCTCCGCGACATCACATACCAACATCGAAACAACACCCGACAATGCGTCTCCGTTGGCCTCTGCGACCTCGACTACCCCCGATTCTAGACCTAGACACGCGACAATCCCGAGCCCATATCACGGTAACGCTAGCCAAGCTACAGACGCACGTGGCGAACCAGTTGCCGAATTGAACAACGATGTCTTTGAGGATGGGCCTCGTGCGCCAAGGGATGCTGCGGAGATGAAATGGTACTCACCGCTTTTCACGTCGGGCCTTTCTGGGGTTGCTGATACGCAGGCTGCATGTGAAGCTTTTATGTGGAGAGCCATGCGTTCGTCGGAGCAGGCGTCAAGGGAAGAGGAGGAAGACTGTAACTTTTGGGAATAAGTATCTGTGTTATGTCTTACCTAAGTACACATGTATGTGCTAGAATTTGGGACTAGAATGCAAATCTTACGATACGAATACTGCTCAAAGTGAGACTATGAAATGTACAGCTATGGATGCCGACGTACGTCATATAACAGGACATGTGTGGGGCTTAGAGATTGCTTGATGATAGTAAAGATAATCTAAGAACTCTTTGAGCTACGTGATTGTCATCTGTAACACGACAGAATGGAGTTCATACATGTCTTACTTCGTAACTACTTCCTTGTCCTCATCAGCATTTGGTGGCCAACACTTCCATGGGTTTTCCCCCTTGTTAACTTTCATTTGCTGTTCAAAGCCACCTTTGGTCGCATGTAAACAGCACAGCCTCCTCTTAAGATCGTCAGTTTGTTCCTTCTTCAGAATCTTACCGATGGGCTTACCGACTCTGCAGCGCTTATTTTTGGGGTCCTCGGTGGCTACGACTGCATAGTCATCCAGAACGGGTAGTGTGTCTAAGTGCTCGAGAAGCCAGGTTAGGCCTTCGTCCTCCAGGAGTGTGATGAAGTCATCGCGAGAGAGAGGCTCTGGTTTCGGAGGAGGGGGACGTGGCGCTTTCGCCAGAGTCTCCTGTGATGGGTGATCTGACTCCTCGACTGGTGTTTCCGAGACGGCATAGACCTGAAAGGAACTTGGGAGCTCGTAAAGAAGCTCGCCGATCCAGTGTAGGTCGCTGTATCTCTTCATAGCAGCATACATGGTTTTCCTGGCTTCCGTGAGAGTTGATCTCAGCTCTTCGAGGTCATGTTCGGATGATGCTGCAGTCGAACACTCGTTCACGGGTGTACCGTCAACTTCAAAAGGGTCGAGTGGATTCAGTGCATGCGCTTGCTGCAGGTCTTTCCTTTCGTGAACGCTCATAAAGCTATCAGATCGAACTTTACCATTCGGCGTAACCGATGTTTTCATGGGAGAGGTGGCGAGCGCAATAGCTGGATGTTGGGTTGCGTGAGGCATTGCGGGCGGTCTCTTAGTTTTGCGATATCGGTGTCTGCCTTTTGGTTCCGGATGTAAGGAATGGAGGAGGGGTTTATATATCTGGATCGCAAAAGCCTGTCACAGTGGCTGACAACAGCGGATTCGTTGGCATCTGAACATATTTTGTCTGCATGACTGCGCTGAATTGTACTGACTCAACTTTTAGCGTAGGAGAAGCTCTTCGTCAGAGATGACTATTGTGTCCGTAAGACTTCCGGAAAAGTCAAGTAGTACCATTGCGTAAGTGTTGCGTTGGCATCTCTTGACATGCTGGAAGGGTCAGTGCGAGCAACAGGCGCAAGAAAGACTACGCGAGGTATGGGTAGTTCGACATGACGGTGACTTTACGGACACGTTGTAGACAGCTGTAGAACAGCCCACAATCTTTCATGCGACGAAGTTCAACCTGATGCGAAGAACAGTAGGATAAGTAACAAAGTTGACGATACTTGGAGTGCTCATAGACTGATGACCAATGTGACCACGATGCCGTTGACACCAGGCTGGCCACTCGCTCCATCATCTAGTACATGCGGACAAACCTGAAATCCCACTTTCTCGTAGAAAGCTCTTGCGCTCGTATTTGACTGCACCATGTCAAGATGGGCCCCCTTCGCACCCAAAGTTTTAACTGCACCCAGGAAATGCTGTATGAGCATAGAACCCCACCCCTTTCGCTGATACTCAGGCAGAATATCGATATGTAGATGCGCCGAATATTGCTCCAACACCTGCGGCCAAGGCAGCAGCATACTACAGTCCGCTTCATACACAGCCTTTCGAAAGTGCCTAGCGTCTTCTCTTTCCATCCGCGAATCATTGGTCTGGACATCCGGAGGTGGCACAAGTTTCGGATCGATAGTCGGAGTGAACACGTCGCGCCAGCGCTGCGCGAAAGACTTTGTATCAGCGGCGCCGATACAATAACCCACCACACGTCCGTTGCCGTCATCTAGTACGTAGCATGTTTCGGGTGTTAGATCAACGTAGGCTTTGTACCAGAGACGTAAGCCTATAGTGCGCGCTGGCTCCCAGTCAAGACCTGGGTCGATAGTTTCCAGGAACTGTGGTTTTCGTCAGGATAAACGTGACGAATGAATCGATGCTGTGACGCATACCACGTGGAGTCCGTCATTATAATCGGCTGATGTATTATACGTTCGGACAAACGGGGTTTTCATTGCCATGTTGGACTCGATAGCGCAAGCGATAGGCTAGCTCGTTGGTAGACTGTTCGTATGGGGGGTGATGTTTCTGGCCCGTGAATAGGTGAAGTACTGAGAAGGAGGACGAGATTATGCGATGTTGTTATGTTTCATTCAGGCAGCAGTCTGAGAACAATGGCAACCAGCGGGGAAGAGGGTTCAGCTTGCGCTCGCTCAATGATTGGCCGCGCATTTTCAGATCGTGTAAGCAATATATTCGCCTGGGCATCGATACGGGGCAAGTTTCCAGATGGCGGTCTTCTATATGTGCGAGTCAGGTCCCGCGTTTTGGCAGAGACCTCTCAGGGTGGAGCGCGAAAGACAGAGAGAGAAGACGCGCCCCTGCGAAGGATGGACGAAAGAACGAACCCTGGCACTAAGCCACTTCTAGCCTAACCTGTCGTTGATGATGTCATCCCCAGCCTTCCTACCTGGTACACGCGCATCCTATGAAAGGACAGCCTACATCCTCATCAGCTATGAAAACACCTGTCGTGGAAATGCATACTCACCCACAGTCGGATAGCCAGCGCATTTGGTGTATGGCGGTACCTGCTTCAAGCAATTGAGTCGCCCTGCGCCGCAGTCTTGCTTGCAGTCAGCGCGTCGCGCACCTTCAACGTCGGAGAGCCGGAGACTCATATATGCGCTTACTTTCGACTTCACATGGCCCGGTGTACGGAGGATAGTTTCCAAGCTCGTCGCAGTCCGTCTGCCGGATCTCGTTGCCTGGGTGTAGGCCAACGACGCATGCGCCGAACACTACGAGGTTGAAGACTGCACGTAGCAACATCGCTTGCGGAAAGAGAAGAGATGAGTTGGGAAAAATTTCTGATCTGTTGTCTTTTGCATGTCCTAACAGAAAGAGTCATGCCTCGACTTATACGGTACCGTCGAATTACCCGGATATGAGTGCTCGCTTGCTCCCTGGCGGATACGAGAATAAGACAATCTTGCGGAACACGAGGCTAATTGGCAGATAAGATCCTAATTGTGTTGCTTTAATCTAATGAGTGGAAGTCCATTTAGTGACGGACGTCAGAGGAACGGAAACGTCCCCAATAACGGAGATGTAACGTTTGATGGAAGTGGCCACAACGACTCAAGGTCATCCTTAGATGCGGTTGCGACGGCAGTCCTCACAGACGTTGACATAGCAGCGGCGGCACTGCAAGATGTACTTGCGATGGCGTGCATCGCACATCTCGCATCTGAAGCCTCCCCTGGGCGCGCCATGGAAAATGCGCTGGAAGCGTCGTGAATGCTCGCATTCATGGTTGTCCTGCAACTCGACGGCGACCCTGTCAACAAGCTGACGCCACACATCAGGAAGTATGTTCGGTTCAGCGTCTCGGTCCACGATCTCTTCTGCACGCTCTACGATACGATTGGGATCTGCTGTACGGCAACCGCATTCCTTCCAGCGTGTGCCACACTCGTAACAGAACTCGGCCTTGCAGTGGCATCTTCGATAAATTAGCATAGCTTACGCGTACGAAGCGTCAAGAACTTACGTCATATGATTACAGCCGCTTCGCAGCTGTACCACTCGGGCACAATTGTAACAGGTCTGCCACCCCATCTCGCGTGCCAACTCCCGAGTTTGGTGAAGGGCCGGATCGTCGGGGCAGTCAGTTGCTCCATGGAAAGTTGCCTTGCAGAGAGAACAGGTTTCTGTGCTGCACTTTGGACAGACTGCGCGATTTGTACCGGGCTCGATATTGTTGCGGACAACAAAGGCGTTACAGTCGTGGTTGCTGCAGTAGGTCTTGTCGTTTGTCGCATATTCCACGATCGCCAGCTCGAAGGTGGCCAGTTCTTCTGGATCCATGTGCTTGGCGACTAGGTCAAGTGGAATAGGTTGCTTGCAGCATCTAGGAGGATACAGACTCTCATCTTTCGTTGACCGCATGAACAGACCTTTGATGCAATCAACACAGTAGCGGTCTCCACATTCCGCTTTGACCATAGATGCGCGGGGAATTCAGTCCAGACAAGTGCAGCACTTGAACTCCGTCGATAATCTCTTGATGGTGTCGGCTTGGCGCTCCAAGTAGGACATAGACGGTCCGGCCTCTGCCTCATCATCGGAGAACTCAACGACCGAAGTAGCAGCGATGTGTTCGGAGGCGGTGGACATCCAGTCATGGTCTTCGCTTTGAAGATTTCCGTGCACAGACGGCGGCGGGGCTTCGATCTCAGGATCATTGTTGCTCAACTCCAGCGCAAACCGGCGGTCTGCATGAGCCTGAACATCTTGTGAGGTAAGATCCCCAATGATGGCACTATCGGAGTGCACAGCGGCTCCGATGCTCTGGGCGAGCTTTTGGTCGGCAAGAAAGTCCTTGTGAGCTTGAAGTTCGGCCTGAAACTGGCCATAAGCAACATCGACGTCAGGAGGTTGATCCACGGGATGCTTCCCTTTGCCAGAATCGGAGTAGACGCCGAGCTCCTCAAGCTGCAGCGTCAGAGCAGCCAGCTCATCATCCAAGCAATCGGCATGAGAGGCCCGAGGGTTATCGTCAGACATGGTTGCTGGCGCGGAGGAAGTCCAGAAGCTAGATATAGATGTCTGCAAGGTGACTTTGATATCGTACAATGAGACACGAGAGGCTGAAAGAGACTGAGAAGTTCTATGGGGGCGAAGAAGGCGACTCCTCGCATTTGTAGGAGCGTGCGCAAATACGGGGTGTTTGCTCCCAATGGGTGGCTGCAGGAGACCAAAGTGGAATGACTCTACATCTTTACAAATCGCGTTGCCGTTCTGCCTTTAATACCAAACGAGGAGCTCTCCAGGAAAAGAATGGCAGTCTTCGAGAGGGGGCATACCAACACCCGAACAACCTCACTCTCCCGCCCGACCCATACGGCTCACAACTCCAAAGTCTCCCTCAACAAACGACCCGTGTGGCCCCAACGCATAAACCTGTGGCATATCCGCCCTAGCCACCTCCTCAAACGTCCTCCCATCAAGCCCCACAAGTATACTATTCGTCCCCTCCTTATTAATCGTAATCGTAATCACAATCCCATCATCCTCCTCCGTCGCACCCGGTCTCTGGATGAAAATCGGCTCCGTAGGACAACTCTCGCCGTTCTGCGGCACCCACGCTTTGAACGTGCCAGTCCGCCAATCAGACTTGAAGAGGTGGCCATAGAAAGACGCATGTGGCATATCCACGCCGTTGCCGAGACGTCCGATGGGGACATCTGTGCCCGGCGCGGCGATCCCGTTTCCAGAGACGCCGTAGACGAAGCGGTAGTTTGGGTCCATAGAAGCGGCTTTGGAGATGCGAGGTAGTTCTGCCATCATATCTGGAATAGCGGCTTTGACGGTGCCGCGGGCGACGATTGCGGGATCACGCGTGTTGACGGCAGAGAGTTCGTAGCGGACGAGGCGGCCAGTCTGGTAGGGTTTGAGCGGGTTGATGACGTTGGAGATCGCGTACTCGTGGTACGGGTAGTGCTCGGCCTTGTAGCTCGCGATGTCGACATGGACGTTTGTGTGCCCCGTTTTGGGATCGACGTAGTCGTAGGCGTTGGCTGTGTGGAAGAAGTAGAAATTGGGGACTTGGTAGGATGCGATGCTGCAAAGTGTTAGTAGGTCAGATTGGAGATGAAAAGAGAGAACTTACACCTTGCCATCGGCCTTGTCTAGGACGTAGAAGTACACAGGGGAGTCGTGCTCGCATACCATCGCCTCGACGAGGGTCTTGCTCGGATCACTGAGATCCAATATAACAGGCTGGTGGCATGTTAGTTTCGATCCACATCCCGCCGCTTCACCCCTTCTGAACTACTACTCACGTTCCTGACAAATACAACATACTTGTCCGTCATAGCAAGAGCATGCGTGTAGCACGGCTTACACGGCAGCGCCGACTTCCACAACAGACGCGCCGGATTCGCCACCACATCCAACGCAAAAATATACATAATCCCCGTCGCGTCGATCAAGTAGTTGTACGTCTGTCCTCGCTTGCGATCATGGACGGGATGAGCACAGCAACCTGTTCCAGCGAGCTCGGGATCGATGACCGCATGAGAGAGTAAACGCTTTGGCTCGAGCGTCTTCGCATCGCAGATTTGCATGCAGTTCCAGTCCGTGTGAACGAGGATCTATGTCTCTTGGTGAGCTTCGTCGCGTTCTTCTGGCATGAAATGGAGATGGGGATAGTCTTACCTCCTGCGTAGCCGGATCTTCCGCCTTGACCCCCCTCGAATTCGGATTGTTATCCTCCGGTAGATGCATGCCACGTCTCGGCTGAACATGAACATTAAGAGCATCTGGTTCGATGGAATCATGAGGCAGGAAAACGGTTTGCTACATCCATCCGAAAACCAGTCAGTCTTCCCATCACTTCTCGTGGATAACCATGACTGGAGGAGAGGATGATCAGACTTACACGCGCTCCAAGTAATTTCGAACACGGATCCTGGGCTTCGAAAAGAGGCGTGTTGGGATTCGGTCCTACCCAGGAGTTCTTGACGTAGCCGTCTCGCTGCGCGGCTCGCGTTATCCCGTTGGAAGTGTAGCGACTCATGTAATACACGCGACCGTCGGTCATGCGGAATTTGTGGAGGAGGGCCAGGCCGTCAAAGAGGTGCTGGATGATGACTCGGGGTGTGGAGTCGTCTTCGGAGGTGGGGACTGTGAAACGGCCTACGCCAACCCTGTGGTGAAGTTGATCTTAGCTGGGGATTTAGGGCAGATGTGAAGGGTGGAGGGTGACGTACCGAAGGAAAGAGCCATGGAGCCATTTGGGCCAGGTGCCGCTGAGCTTGCACTCCACCTCCGTCGTCGTTTCTGGGACATCTTGAAAGTACGGCGGAGCGTATTTGAGTTCTTCCGCTGTGATGATGTCCCATCGGTAGCCTTTTGGCTCTTGTTCGGGTGCCATTTCAAGATTGGGGAGAAAGTGTTTGTCGAGTGTAAGTAAAGATGTATTGTAATTGCAAGACACTGATGAGGATCCGATGTTGATGAAGTTTCGAGGTGGTGTACGGTGCTTTATATATGCTCTACATTCTTCCATCGCGGGATACAATGAAGCCATGATCGTAAGCATTCAATCACTAGAGGGCCGATTCCATCTCACCGACAAGCAGACAAGGCCGTCAAGTTGGAACTTGAAGCATGGTACAGCTCTATACCGCTTCCAATCTTACCTATACAATGTGCCAAACCCGGTTAAGTGTATGACTACATGCAAGGGCACGCAGTAAAATAATCAGTGCCCAGACTCCCACCACGGTTTCGGGACAGACTTCCACCTCCACCCCTCCGCCTCCCCTCCGCCTCCCCTCCGCCTCCCCCACCCACCCCTGTCGCTTACCAACGATACTGCATGGCTAGCTGCCAAGTACGATCACAAAAGAGATCAAAAGCAGCCTGAGTAGGTGCGTAGACTCGGTGCTTTGCAATCCTCGTTTTCCAATTGGGCGGCGCCGGCGGATGTCGGTGTCCAAACTGACATCCGATCCGGATGACAGCATAATCAAGTCCGTTCCGTGTACTGCCAAGTTTATTTAGATTTACGCAGGGACTTTATTGCGGAGGATATGCAACGGCAGCGGTTAGTACCGTCGGAGGCTTTCTGAAGGCTACCCCCTGCATGTATCTAGCGGGTTCAGCTCAGCCACCACGGCCGCTATGCAGGATCAGTAATCTAAAAGGTCGGCCGTCTGCAGAGTATGGAAGTCTTGATACTCCATATGGTCGAAGTAATGATGGTAGGAGATTGAATATTCACTTTTATCAGTCAGAGGACTATTCGTACGATAAACCTAACATGTGATACCACTCCACATTACAATACCCTTTTCCCCCTCCACATCATCTATCATCATCACCAACCCATCCCTACCCCCCCCTTACACACTTCTTCTCCTTTCCAGGCCCATCCCCCCATCACCCCCCGCTCAACCATCCCCCTCGCAACTCCCCCAACCACCCCCCTATACCATTCCCTATATTCTCTATACTCCTCCTCACCCATATCATCGTGCAGACCACCCATCTCCAACCCCCCAGCATCAAGCCAAGCGTCAAGATCAAGGAGGACTTCATCTAGGAAGGCGCATGAGTTGTTGTCATTGTTGTCGTCTAGTATACCGCTTTCGCTCTGCGTGTAGAGAGGGCTGTGGAGGGAGCTAAGAAAAGGGTGGAGAAGAGGTTCGTCGTTGCTGTAGACTGAGCTTGGTGTTGGACTGTATGGGATGGGGTTGTCGTGTTCGTTGACACCTAACATCTCGACGTCTTCGGAATTCTTGTCGTTAAGCATCTCATCTTCCGGCGGCTGAGGTCGCGCGACGTAGTACGCATATGCCTCAGCCATGGTTTCCGATCGACAAGACGTAACGCTATCCCTCCTGGTCCTCAGTGACGACGCCAGCGCATTCATATCGAAACAAGTATCGTCTGGTAGCGAGCGCAACGACGCAATACCATCCTCCTCTCGCCCACTCCCGTCCGAATCCATCGTCGCTCTATCCACACTTATCCGAGAACGTATCTCGTTATCAATCGATGACGAGGACGGGGCTGAAGATATTGTCGGGATACCATCACGTTCCCGTTCGTACTTGCAGAACCGGCAATTTACCGCTAAACATGCCATCCTCGTTTCGTAAGAAGGCGCTAGGGTGTTGTTGTGAAATAGTTTAGCTAGACAGAGGTGGACAAGTGTGACAGTGTTGACATTTGAGTGTGTGTGGGTAAAGTGATGTAGGTGGTTATGCAGTAACAGAGATAACACTTTGTAGCTTTTTATATGCGGCTGGGTGAGCACAATGTCTGTACGATCACTTGTGTCTTCAAGGAAAAGGTAGTAAGACAGTCCGGAGTGACTGTCTCGGTATTTGTTATGGATCAGGTGTGAAGTCTTTGGCTCGATGTCCACTGATGCTATCCATTCACATCACATGTCTTGAAGCTTTCAGAGACAATGATATTGACGTCCAAGGTTTCTCCTCGACCAGTGAGACATAGCGATGGCAATCAATGAAGGAAGAGGCGTCGGTTTACTATGGTATCATTCTATATCTCGCTCAACTACTATCTAACATACACTCGCTCGTACATAGAATTAGTCTGCTCCACCTCCCACCCCCACCATCCGCTCCCGATCCACCCATGAATACCAATCTAGCTCCTATCTACAAAAGCATACTTCCGCGCACGCTCCCAATATTCCTCTCTCCATAATGCTGCAAGCGCCTAGCACGCACAAAAACATGCCAACGCTCACACGCACTCCATTCGCCAAATACGCTCGCTCGCTCAGCCATGTGTGAATCAGAAATGCTTCTTCAAAGAAAGCCAAAAACATGTGTGAAACTCCGGGGTATAGGATACTTTCTCCCAACCGCTAAAACGCCAGATGGAAAAAGCAACAAATCAAAAGTGTGGATATAATGGTCCAGAGGTGAGATGGATATTTCGATGATACATCGCGGGGAAAGAGAGAGATTCTTCTTCGAAAGAATGCAGATGCTTAGTACTAGAAGGCAATATTAGGGAACGGGGGTTAGGACCAAGCCAGGATCCAGACGCGAAGTGAAAGTTGGGGGTGAATAAGTAGGTTTCGCTAACGTTGATTGCGTGATGTTGCTGTCGTTCGTTTGGAAACAAGAGGTATCGATCAGGTCTGCGCCGGTCCGTCGAGGTGAATTGTCCGATTTGCAAGTGCCTATCTCCAAATTGGTCTGTCTCCTACGCTTGACTGGCGACCACTAACACGGCTTGAAGTGCGACTTTCGGCCAAGCTATCAAGCCTGCTGCTGGAGCGTCCAGGAGGGGTCGACTTAGCAGGAGGGGTCGACTTAGCAGGAGGGGTTGACTTGGTGGCCTCGGAAGTGGATGAGGTGCGCTGTCTAGGTGTAGGTAACAGACTGCTGCGACGACTGGCTGCGGCACTCGGAGGGCGTGATGCGCGACGGGCCGCCGGACTTTCTTCTTTGGCAGGGCTCTTGCCGCTTTCTACTACTGTTGAGACACGACGGCTAGACGCTGGCGTACTTGTACTTGAGGAAGACAGCGGCGTTGATCGTATCGGCAGCTTGCCCTTGGCAGGAGTAACGGGAGAGGAGTTCATTGGGCTTGGCATCAATCGAGCAGAGCGCTGCTGCCCTGGAGTAGTTGATGGAGAACGGCTGGATGCAGTCGGCGAAAGAGCTGAGGAGCGACTCAATGGGCTTCTGAGGGGTATCGATGAACGGCTTGCTGAGCCCAGTCGCGATCCGTCGGGTGATTCGTCTTTTCGGAACGGCGAAGGTGTGGTCAGAGTCAACGGCTTAAAGTTGTGCCCGACGACAGTATCGCGCATGTGCGTGTCCGAGTTCCAACGAGGCTTGGGCCCAGGCCTATCGGTCGGCGTCTTTGCGCGTGCTTGACTAGCTGCAGTGCCAGCCATGGCGCGGGAAGGTGTAAAGTCCAAACGTGCGGAACGCTCAAGTGTAGATTTGCGAGAAGCGACACTCTCAGCACCCAGTGGTATGCTGGAGTATCGGCGGTTGGGAGGGGCCGACGATTTCAAGCTCGCAACACTGGACTGACGAGGCTTCTTGCTTACCGGAGTAATGGAAGGCCGCTGTCCACTACTCTTACGGCTCATGACGACGCTTGAGGCAGGGGATGTGCCTGGTGTGTCAAGGCTTGACTGTGGTAATGAGCCCTCTGTCAGTACGGTGGAGACCGAGTCACGAAGCTTGCGCGATGTAGTGAAGTCGTTCAAGATGATGTCTGTGTTTCCAGTCACGTCTTCCAAGTCCTCCACCTTTGCGCGGACGTCTTTTTGGATACGCAGGATCTCACCGTTGACTGTGGACCTGTGCTTCATCTCGATATCGATGAGCTCAAGCACACGCCTCATAGACGGAGGGTAGTGATCTCGCTTGTCTTTGTAGGTGGCGATGCGCGTAGCTAGTTTCTCCTCGTCGCTGTCTTCGATGGCCTGCTGCAGTCTTTCGATGCTCTTCATGCACGAGTCGTACATGGCAGCAGCCTTGCTGTGGGCTTGACGGAAGCTGTGCACCCATTTGTCTTCGCCCAACTCTTGCCTCAGCGCGTCTGCGTCGGCTTCAAGCTTAGCCTCTTCCTCTTCTAGCGATTCCTTCCTCCGTACCAGTTCGTCACAGGCGGAAGGAAAGATGGTGCTCGCGCGCATCTGGAAGGCGCTGAGTCGCATAGGGAGGAAGTCGAGCGAAGCACGCAGTGGCTGTAGCTTGGCGAAGAGGGCTAGCAGTCGCGAATTCTCTTGTTCGATTTGCGGGATGGGCGAGGTGGGCGAGACGATGGATAGACTGGGCGGCATACTAAGCCGCTTGCTGTTGATTATCGACTGCTTCCGGGGGATTACCTCAACGACGGTTTCGAGCTCGGAAATGTCAAACTTCTCGGGGGCTTCTGCGACTGAGTCGGAGATGACGCGGTGTCTGCGCTCCTCCATCTCAAAGATCAGACGACTGAGGTTTCTGACCTCGGCGCCGATTTCGCCAAGCACGTTGTTCCACAGCTCTTCCCACTCCATGGCGACCTCGACCTGGTTCTTGATGTTCTTGAGCGTCTGCTTGATCTCGCCCCAGTTCATGACTATGTCCTCCATCTGGCTGACAAGCGTCGTCTGGTCTTTCGTGGGCAGGAGCGCAATGTCGGAACGCGACTGCAGGTCTTCTATTGCGCTAATGTAGACGTTGACGAGCCCTTCGAACTTGCCGATGGCGGCATCCACCTCCTCCAGGCCTTCTCTTCCGGCAGCTGCGGCCCACTCTACGTCATCGTCGGCGTCGAGGCCGCTGAGGACCTCTTTCGTCTTGGATATCCATAGGCGGATGTCGTTGGCTGCCTTGTGGAGTGCGCGTCCGGCCTGGGTGGAGGTCGGGAGGGCGGTGATTTCGGAGG